CCTCTCCCTCTCCCTCACCCTCTTCCTCTCCCTCTCTCTGCCTCCAACTTCTGGTAACCACCATCTTATTCACAACTTTTATGAGATCAGGTTTTTTTACATTCCACACGAGTGAAATCAGGTGCTACTTGCTTCAGCTTTACACACTTTCCGCTGTAGTCAATGAGTGGGAAGCAAAGAGGTCCAAGTCTGTGCGTTTTTTCCAGAGAAGGAAAGAGGAAGTGACTCAGACTCATAAGAGCATGTTGTTTTTAAACTAGAAGAGACTAAATTCCTTGAATGAGAGAGTTGAAGCTTGCCATTTGTATCAGATTTTGCTTTGTTTTTTACTAAACAAAAACAGGTGCTCCTGACCAAGTTGAATGTAGTTATAGATAAGGAAAGGAAATTACATTTCCGCCTTCCTCTATGGTACTGCTAAGGAAATTCTGTCTAACCTCAGGCTAGACAAGGTACATACCTGATGTCTTTTCTTCTAGGCTCTAGCTTTGGTAGGTCTTGTGGGGATTCAAAGAGATTACACCCGCAAAGTGCTCCCCAGGAATGTGGCTGTCCTCCTTCCCATTACAGAGGAGAAAGTTGATGTTGAGAAAAGCAACTTACCTGATCTCACACAATAATAACATATAGCAGGGAGCCTTAAGGTAAAGTATTCTCTCCTGATTCAAAGTAGCAACAATGTCATTCCACTGACTCATTCATTCATTCATTCATTCATTTCCCGCTTGCATAACCCAAGTATTCTGCTAGGCACTTACATGGCACTTGCATCAAAGGGCAGTCTGAGTCAAGAAAGCATAATTATGGCAATTCTGGCACAGTGTGGTAAGTTATACACTAAGTAAAATACAAGAGGCTATGAAGGGATCCCGAGGGGTGTCAGAGGCCCCTCTGAAAAGAGAAGGAAGACCTACAGTACGAAGAGGCTTTTACATAGTGACAGGAAGGGCAGAATAAGGAAGCTCTTCAAAAGAAGGAAGGGGTGTATGGAGAAGAGAATTCAGGAAGAGAGAACTACATACACGAAGGATAGAATTAAGAAAGTTTATTGAGTAATTATGAATACTTTAGAAACACTAATGTTTAACAGTAATAAGATAGCTAAAAAAATACAAAAATGATATTTGCATGCCTATGTTTATCGTGTTGCTATTCATAATAGCCAATATATGGAAGCAGCCTAGGTGCCTATCAACAGATGAATGGCTAAAGAAAATATGGTATATATGCACAATGGAATATTACTTCGCCATAAAGTAGAATGAAATCAGGTCATTTAAAGGAAAATGTTTGGAACTGCAATGCCACCAAAATAAGCCACAGAAGTATCATGTGTTTTCTCTCATCTGTAGAAACACAACAGAGTGACCTAAAAGTAAAAGAGGAACTAAAAGTAAGGGAACTTGAGAAGGCATGAGAGAAGGGAGGGAGAGACAGAGGTAGAAATATATGGATA